TTGAAGGACTAGGAAATACTAGCTCAACACACTCTGTATTTCTGACTTTTGTGTAATCTTTTTTAGGTTCTTCAAATCTAATGGGAGTTGTAGGCAAAAGTTCGGAAACAACCAGTCCAGCACTCAAACTACTTCCTACAATTAAAATAAAATAAAATATAGATTGTTATTTTACAACATGAACTAAATTTATTTAGAACCCATTTTGTTGTTGTTTCTACTCCAAAATAGTGTTAAAATGAGAGTGATATTTTACAAAGTATATTTATGATTAGGTAATAATCACGAGCATTTATTTCCGAAAATAGTTAAACCAAAAATTATGTTTTAAAAACATTTAATTTTGGCTGTTTGAAAAATGAGCACCTCCCCTCCCCAGATAGTTTCGGAATTGTCACCAGAAACAGCTTAGCCATCTCAATAATCTGAGTAGAATAAAGTTATTTAATTGAAAAAATATGCATTTGAGGTTTGAGCCCACCCTAATAAATTTGTTATTTGTTATTTAATTGCAACAAAATAAGAAAATAGTACTCACCACTCGATGTTGGTTGGTCAATAATGTCATTATATTTATAAGGAATAGCTGATTTTATTAATTTTTTTGAAACCTGGTTCATAAATGAATCTGGTGAAAAGTGCTCCTGGCATAAATACCGATTATAACACTTTTCATCGTCAATCGAAAATAATTTTATGTTTCCTAAATTTAAAATTATATTAAATTAAAAAATGTTCTTAAAACTTGCATAGATAATATTTACTTAAAATATACCTGAATTAATTTTCCACGTTTCTAATCTACTATCTTTTAGAAAACGGTAAAATTTTAAATTAGGAAATTTACTGGAGGATTTACCGCAGTTAAAATATTGGCACGTACTACCAGGCATTATAAACTCTTAACATTAAAATTTAATTTAATTATAAGAAATTATTTTTTTTTAAATGTCAACAATATAATTACTAGAAAACAGTCTGTTGTTCAACTCAACTGTAGTACCTATATACCTCTGTAAGTGTAACAAGTCACAATAGTCACATGCGAATAATGTCAGCACAGCGGCGATTACGATAATAATATAAAATTGTGATCGCCCGAACGATACAATAATAATACAATGATATTGATAAATTAACGGGCCCATACGATAACGTTTCATAACTTGAGTTTATAAATATATACTCATGATTACGCCGCGGCTGACGAATGACGATGTAACCACTTTTCGCTATGACCCTTTGCCGTCAGCGACTACAGCGCTCTATTGTGGCTGCCGTCGTAAAACTGGTCGCCGTTATAATATACAGTAGGTACTGCTTATCTGTATATTCTAAAATCAATGGTTATAAGTACCTAATGGATATTGTTATATGATTAATTTGGAATTTATTATAGGTACCTATTATAGGTCAAATTTTGGTTTAGTACCATAGATATGTATATAATATGTCTTATACCCAGACTGACATACCGTCTCCGCTCAGAATCGTTTTTCTTATACAATGATATTATATCGTTGAATTCAAATTTAATATCATCCATTATCCAGTGACCCACTTGTACCCTACTGTACAGAAGAGCGACACCCACTTGCCCACCTTTTTTTATATATTCTTAATGAGGTAACCTTTATAATCCATTATACACCTTGCGTGGTATTGACATATGAAGATAATCAATTTTTTGATAACATTTTTTTTTTTTTATCGTCTTATAATTTATTTTCGTTTTTGCTTGTGATTTTTTTTTGGGGTAATTAGGGTTTTTATAAACGTTTTAAAACCGCATTCCTTCCTTCATATAAGATAGTAAAATTTACAATTTTATTATATATCTTTGGTTCCGAAATCCAATCGTGATGTAAGACACAGTGCTTTTTATTCTCATCAGTCATGGAATTTGGTTTTCAAAATATGGCCAGACTGAACAGTTGACTAAGCGTCCAACACCCAAACGCCTCAGCTTGGGTGTCTTTGTTTCTTAGATGTTTGTGTATCGTGCATCGTGTGTGGTAGTCGTGTATATTGACAAAATATTTTTTTTGTAGATAACACAAGTATCGGACTATTGGAGACTGAAATACAGGCGTCGTATACATTCCGTCGAACCGAGTGATCCTTATAATCAAAGATTCCATGAAAATGGTTTTCCCTATACGTAATGCTTCTTAATCTCTAGTGAAATTTCCATTTTCAATAATATTTTCATTTTTATAGTGTTTTACTACTCCAAGTAATATTGTCGATTCGACAGTAATGCATTTCTACAAGTAAAACAAAATCTTTTAAGGTAAGTTAATGACAATTTTACTAAGCAAAATTTAGAAAATTGCCTTATTATGATGGAAGTGATTACATAAAATCAGGTTTTTCAGACAGAAACATATTGAATACTATTATTAATAATTTGGAAGCACCAAGACGGTCAAGTAGAAAAAATAAACTTACTACAGTTAATAACAATACAAGTTATGAACAAATGCGAAGGATCCAACTACTAAGGTAATAATAATTTAGAAGAGTTATAGTCAGTTATAGATGTCTTTCGAATTTGTAAAATGTATAAAAAATATTTTGAAGGGCACCACAGTAGCAGCTTATTTATAAAATATTGTTAAAGTATAAATAATGAGCATGAACTTGTACTTGTACTTCATGACTTATGAATAATTTATAAGTAAGTTATTGTTGGTATACGCCCCGGTTTGTCCAGAAATATATATTTACATTTTACATACACCGACCTGATAGTGTTTTGGTGTGTCTAATTATCGCAGCATTGATTTTCTGTAATCTCTGTAAATATTTTGTATTTTGTTAATTGTCAAAAATCAATATTGTTTTGGTAAATGAAACGATATTCAAGTTGAATTACGTTGAAATATATTTTTAATTTATATTTTTAGCTTGATAATATTTATTAATAATGATAACGTTCATTGTTCTTCTGTCTGTTATAACAATTTTAGTAATAGCTATCTATAATTATTTTGTTTACTTATTACAATTTATAACATTGAATTTAAATATTAATTTTTAGTATTTAAACGCATGTTGTAGATTACTGGTCATTATGTACCTACAGTGATTCAGTTATAGAAAAGTAGGATATTAAAACTAGTGGTTGACCATTGGGAGTAGTAGAAGTATTATTCCCATAAAAACTAGACGAAACATCTGTGTCCTGTAAAATAATATTTGATAACCGTAACTCTATGATATATTCTAAAATAGTTATAAGTATGAAATAACCAAGTGTACTTTAAATTAATAACACCAAATATATAATATGAAATAAGTGTTTTTAAAATACTTATATTCAATTTTAAATTCTAAGCGAAGCGATGAATGTATTGATTTTATAATAATGTGTTGTTGTAATTTAAGTTATAAAATGAAGGAATTTCTAATAGCTAAGCGACTAAGCATAAAAGTTCATACTGTGATAAACATATGATATTAAACATGGGCAGATTCGTGGAGGGGGTTATGAGGGTTATGAATGCTTGGGCACCCTCTGTCATCAAACATAACAATAAAATAAATTTGTGTTATAAATAACTTAATCTAAAATAGATTATAGGTATATTGACATTTGATGTTTTTTGAGCACCCTTGTTAAAATATTATATTTTTTGAAGCAATGGACTTTTTAATACCTTAAAATTATTGATAGAATTTACATTTATCCCAAATTCAGTACAAGATTTAATAAAAACATAATACTAAATTACCTAATATTAATCTTAAAATGTTTATTATAATTATGGACAGAAGTAACAGTACTATTCTTATATATTCTGTACAAAATAAGTTTTTAATTTATAAACGTTGAGCTCATCATAAACAAATAACGGTGAGTAGAGTATAACAGTTTTTTTTTTTTATATATTTGGGCAGTTACAGTCTTTTTGCTTCTTACTCATTTTTCATGCAGAACAATCATAATAAAATAATTCGATGCCGTTTATTTTAAAAATCGTAAATTTATCACTAGAAGTATCATCTATTCTTACTTTTGATATCTATTTGATTAATTAGATTCAAAGAGTTTTTGAGGAGTAGGTCCTAGGAACAGAGCGATGAATGTATTAGATTTACAATGATGGGTTTTTTTTTTATTTTTTTATATTTATATTTTTGTGTTTTATCACCTTTTGGGGCAGTATTTCAACGATTTCAACTTCAGTATCTTGTTCTATTTAAAAGTGCATATAGTTAGTGCATTCGGTACTTTGAGAGGACAAAATTCCTAATAGTTTTCAAAAGTGCCGGGAAAAACAAGAAATTAAATTAAAGAAGAAGGGGATATTTTACGCAAAATCTGTTTTTGTCAAAACCTGAAATAAATTATCTTAATAATTCACATTTGTTATATTGATGAACTTATCTCACCCGTGTGTATTTAGCCGCCTCGTACTAGGCTTACAACTATGATAACATTTAAATAAATATTAGTTAATCTCTATGATGTATAATTTTAAAAAATTTACCTCACAGGTGCAAGAAATAGTCCATGAACAAAGCCACTTTAACAAACCGAGTCTGTTCCTCAACAAAGTCAACAAATGTCTCAGCAACATATCCAGAAGCCTCAACAAACACCAAAACCCCAACAGACACATGTCCAGCAAGTATCTTTTTCACAGGTACAGCAACAACAACAAGCCCCTCAACAAATGCGCCAAGTTGGACAACAACTACAAGGGCCACAAAGTTCACAAATTTCACATAAACTTCAACAAATTACACTACAGAGCCAACAGATACCCCTACAGACACAATTACAACATTCTAAGCAAGTGCAAACAACTCAAATTCAGCCTCAGTCTCAACAGATTCCTCAACAACAACAGATTAATCAGAGTCAAATGATTCATAAAAATATTCAACAAGTAAATCATATGGGGAAAATGATTCCTCAGCAAACTCTTAATCAAAGACAACAGTTAAACCAACAAAACCAACATGTTCCACAGCAACAGCAACATCAACAACAGATACAACAACAATTAGCCCAAGCTAGCCAACTTCGTAAACCAATGTCTCAACAAATTCTACAACCAAATCAGAGTATATCTCAACAAAATGAAGAACTAACTCAGAAGTTGGGAATAAGTCAATCAAATTCCCAAATGTCTGTATCTCAACTTAAAAACCAACAAGTAATTCAACCACAACAGCCACAACACATGCAACAAGCTGGCCAGAAATATCAACAACCTCAACATATGATGCAATCTCAGCCACAACAATTGCTAATGCAAAATAATCAACCCATTATGTATCAGCCAAGTTATTCACAGGCGCAAAATTTGAACGCTATGCAAATTCATCAAACTGTAATGCAAATTCCAACTAACACTGTTACGTCTACTCAAATGCATATACAGCAGCAACAGCCAGAGGGTCAATCTAATATGATGCGGCAACCTCAAATGTCCATTAGGCCACAACATATTATCATACAACCAATTCCTATGTTTCAACAACAAATGACATATTCACCACAACATGTGAATATTAACACAAACTATGCTAACAGTATGCACAATTGTTATACTTCCCAACAACAAATAGCTACATCATACATACGTTCAATAAAAACTGTAGAAACTGTCAAAAAAAAAGAAGACAATTACACTGAAGTTGTTGATAATGGAACAACTAACAACGCAACTACCACTGTAGAAATTGATTACAAAATTGAACAAACTATAGATTTGGTCAAAAGCCATCTCGTATATGCTGTGAGTAAAGAAGTAGAAGTATTAAAAGAGAAGATTGCAGAGCTAATGGATAAAGTTGGACAACTAGAAACAGAAAACTCTAATCTTAGGATGCTTGTAAGACCAGACATATTAGAACAATACAATCGTGAAAAACAAAAATCTACAAATGGTCAGTCTACTCGCAATCAATAGGCTTAAGCTTAGACAATTTGGTAAACCATGAAATACTAATATGTTAGGCCAAGTATATAAAAAACAGTGATTAGTATAGATTGTTATCTTTATTAGTTTGATTTGTACAATGTAATATTAGTAAAGAGTTTGAGTTTAACCATTTTATTTTAATGGCTAACTATGCAGCTAGGTATGTACTTTTATATTTTTTTGAGTATGATGATATTTTGAATCAAAGAAGCCCAAATTTAAAGATATTTTAGTATTGAGTATTTTAGATTATGAATTATAAGGACTTTGTTATATTATATTTTGTTCATATTTTATACTTTTCATAAAATATTGATGATTTATTTTTGAATGTGTTTATTTTTTAAGACGTGAATACTGTATAATTAAAAAAATTAAAAATTAAAGTCAAAATACTGATTATTTTTTTTTAATTATGGTATACTACTTAACGAAGTACATTATGTCCTTGATTTTTGATGTACAATTGTTTGCGAATTTAAATGTAAAATTTATTTTAAGATTGGAACTGACTGAATAAAAAAATTTGGTTACATTTTTAATGATAATTTGTTTAGGTGTGCCGAAAAATTATGATAATTATTAATATACACTCTAACTGATTTGGGAAGTTGAGCCTTGTAAAGAAGGTAGTGCTGTATTTTCTGATATCATGTTCATTGTTCATCCAGTAGCAAAGAATAACGGTACTACAACTCCGACTGCATTAGCTTGCTGGACTGCAAATCATGAATTTGGTAGGTATACAAAAACCAAGCAACCAAGGCAATGGTCATTTGAGTATACTATTATTAATAATATATATATCTATTATATATTATAGCTTTAAAACTTCTGGTTAGTGTTGTGTATTGTCGTTGACTCTTCTGTCCTTGAATACCGACACTCACGGCTGTCTTTACTTACCCCTTTCAATTTCCCTCAAGTTAGTTATAATATACATAGTGATGTTAAAATATGGTATTTCATTTTATTTTTGTATTATACTGTATTAAACTTTGTATAATACTGTTGTATTTAAGGATGGTATAATATTTTTTTGTATTATACCATATTATACACATTGTTTATGGTTTACAATCCCGTATTAAAAGATGTGGAAATTTGAAATTACATATACAATTTAAACATGATTACTCAACGATTGTAAATTCCCATTTGAAAATTTAATATTTTTAATACAAATAAATGTTTAATGTAAAAAAAGTAACAATAGTAATTATTAATACCTAGTTAATATTAACAATTTTAACACTAGAATTTTAGTTTCCTTTTTAAATAATAAGCAAAATAAGTAGTTACTGTTAAATATATAAAAAAAAAAATAATAGAAAATAAAATGATGAATACTTTTTGTTTGAAAATAATAGATACTTATTTAAATTTAACAAAAATGTATGTTTGTCAATTGTCTTCAAACAGTTGTCAGACAAACAGTCCAAATTTGAAATGCTCAGGCTGTACACTTAAATTTTTCTCCCCGGTTGTTCATGTCTTTTGGAGAGCACGTCTTACAAGTATAGCACTTTTAGATTGATGAACCCCAGTCATTGTATTGCAAACCTAAAATTAAGTTTTAAAATAAATGGTTAATTTTGGTAATATTGTATCTTTACTCATGACTTATTGAAATATAAAATATTTTATTTAATAATTGTGATAAAACTTTGTGAAACTTACTTTTCCGTCTACCATAGTGAATATTAATATGATTTGAACACGAATTTCAATATTATTTAAAACACTGAAGTTGGAATCAATAGCTTAATTTCTTCTTAATTTGCTTGTAACGAGCTTGACTACTGCTTACATCACATCCCATTTACATAATATTTCAAAGTTGTTCATTGTTAAATCTACAGCTGGTATGTCAGAAATTAAAAATAATCTTGTTATTGTATGATCAAGAAGGTGTTGTAATTCAATTTTAAAATAAGATTCTGTAATATGAATATTTTCATCAATAACTGAAATGTGAAAATAATAATCGTTAAACAAACAAAATTTAAAGGGAAATAACAGATATGCTAATCACAGACGCAATTCGACGCAGATAAAAATTATGGCATTCAAAAGCTAAGGAGTTTTTGAATATCACCTATATATTTGTACATGATCATTTTAGATCTCTTATTATATAATAACTCTCAAAATGTAAAACCACTAATAAAAAAAATGTTTAATAGTGATGTAATATATATACACCATGTATTTATTAAAATAATACGTATGAATTGAAATTAAACTTACCATTTGTATTGATATCCATTTTAAAATAATAATTAAACTTTTATAAAATTGAAAAACACTCTGAACACAATCGACGAAGAAATGAATTGATATTCCTTAATCAACCATAAATATTGTACATTTTGTTCCTAATCATTTTACAGTTATCAAGTTTTTAAGTGGTTATTGTTATAATAACCCAGAGTCTATTAAATGTTGTTCTATTTATTGTACTGATATAATATAAAGTGCTAAAAACCTCATTTTTCTATTTTGTCCGCATAAATTTGTATTTCCGAACATTGTGCGCCTTAAGAGGACGTTACACGGATATTATTGTTGTCTCCGTCTTATAAGTAGGCAAATATTATACAATTTACGTAATATACTTAATATAATATAATATTATGTATTAAATAGTAAACATTTGGTTGTATTATTAAAATTATATTATAGCATGTCTACTATATAATTATATTCAGATAATTATTGAATATAAAAATTAAATTTACAGTAAAATAATAATTTCTATTACTCTATTATTCTAGAATTTCAGGGGGAACATTGATCGTATTATCTATATTATACTCTATTTGTTTGAACGGTATATTGTTTAAGTTCCCATTGTACTTCCAACAGTGTATTTTGGCATGTGTTTTCTGTATTATATTTATTCTGTGATTATTTAAAACTCGATTATATTAATATGATGATACAGCAATTTCTGTATTATTTAGGGTCCAAACGTACAACACAGCTTCTCTGCTGATGACTACAATAATATTATACCATATTATCTTATCTTATAATAATTATTTACATTTGATTTGTCCGACTACATATGTCGTTATTATTAGGTTCTTGTGGTGATCGTAAGTATTATTTTATAATATATTATAATACGCCTATAATATACAGTAGTTTACTTAACCGATAATGGTTTGGTGTTCGGTGGGGAAATACAATTGCAGCTGAGTTCATACCCTCCTGTATACCAGAACACACAAGAATATTACTTCTGGTACTTGTCAACAGTTGATCATTTTATGAAAAACAGCAACAACCTCAAATCACCATCATCGTCGTCGACATATCATATGGGTAAATATCATGTTTCTATGGTGTTTAAAAGTTTAATAATCGGATGTTTATAATAATATTTTATTGTTATTGTTGTGACAGAGAAATTTAATGATCGTAGTCGAGATTGTAATTCATGAAAACTGCAAACGAATTGTTCAGGGATCTTCTACACAGACCACAGTTGTAGATGCATCATCTATAGATGAACTCAGGTAGTGATGGCATGTGCACTGACAACGACCACTGTTTCGGTGTACAGTGCTTGTGCTTTCAGGCAGTCACTGTATTGTTGGGTAAGTAGGTTTTAAAAAAATATAGAGTTGATTTAACTTTTTTACTCTATTATAAAAATAAAAATGTTGAGAGAAGTTATATAAAAAATTGTTCGATACTTGAATTCAATTTTAAAGAAATTACATGAAGCATCACAATAAAGTGATAGGTAACTTCCGTTAAGTTACTATCCAGCACTGGAGTTGAATCTATAATCCTAACTCATCAGTTTAAACCACAATTTCTTTTAATTGAATTTTAGATTCATTTTAACTTGAAATTTTCTGAATGTGTATCATTTGTTTTTGTTAATGATGCACTTGTTGTATTGATCACTGTGCTGACCCACAGTAAATTAATCTGTGTCCAGAATATTCTGACGGCCGGAGTAAGGAATTGATTTTGAATACAGATATGCCTGTTTGGGGATCTCCAGATTGCGTTCCGAATTTATTCTAGTATACATAATATTATAATGTTTTCAGTGCGTCAACAAAAATGGTATGACCCATTTACGGCCCTGTTCATTTATGCGTATTATATTAGGGGTTTATTCAAGGGCCTTCATAAATAGAATGCGAACAGAATTATTCCCAAAGAATTCTATATTAAATTATGTTTTAAACTATAAACTGTAGGGTTGAATCTGATTATTTAACCAGATTAATTTTGTATATTTTAAGTAACTATAAATTTAAAATTATTGTAATGTGTACATAGCATTTAGAATTTTTTCATTATATTAAAATATAAGAGTATCACTGCAAAAATCATGCAAACCAGAAAATACAATACCAGCCAATACCTGGTACATAAAATTGTCTATACGTACGGGCCTACGTATTGCCTTGATTCGTAATGTACAGCTGATATTATATTGATTAAATTTGTTTTATTAAATAATACCTTTATCGACTTTTTTTTATAAAAATTTGAGTTTTTTTGCTTTTTCATAGACCATAATATTTACGTACTGTGTATTACAATTATGTTATTTCTTTTTTGGTACATTCTTCTGTTTTTTGTTACTAATTTACAACTAAAAACATTGGGGTTATCATCGAGGTAATTACATACAATCATTACAATACACATTTTTAATTATAGAAAATATTTTATAGAAATAATAGGATTTATAATATTATTTCATTTTCCATTTTACACCATATTATTATAATTTATAATTAGTCATTAGGTATATCATTTAAGTTTCAAAATATTATGTGTTTTTCCTTACTAGATTCTTCTTGTGCTTTTTGTTACTTGATTACTGGATTACAACTAAAATGCTATTGAATTATCTGGAGAGTAATTCACATAGAATTCGGGCAATATATTTATTTAAATTAGATACAAGATTTAAGTTTAAGATCCTTTTTTTAAATAAAATTAGAATAGTACAT